TAGGAACTGTTGTTAACCCCATTTTACACAGGACAGCATTTTGGCACAGAGAGGTTAAGTAATTTCCTCAAGGTCACACAGCTAGTAAGTGGCCGATATGAATTCTGAAAGTCTGGTTCCAGAGGCCACACTCCTGAGTAAGTTCCTCATTTTAAATGTACATAAACAGTAACAAGCTAGTCAAATATCATCTAAGTATTATTGTTGTTGTTATTATTGTTATTAATGGCAATTTAAAGCAAAACAGAAATGGAAAAATTGAAAAACGAATATTAAGCTCTCATGCTACAGTAGATCTTCAGATTATCAGGAATACATTTTGGATTGACTGTGGTAGTCATGTTATTCACACTCAAGGACCCTAGCAGGCTACAAGTCCTCAGGGAAAAGCCTGGCGCAGTGAAGCGGCAGCAGCAGTCCCTTTGAAAGCCCGCCAGGAAAGGATTCAAGATCTTCCAGAAGCCCGTGCTGCCCCATCGGAGTGCTCCCCTCCCGGCACCACCCCAGCGGCGCCCCCTGAACGTGCAGCCTCTGCCGATCATGCAGCTCAGAGGACAGGACGAGCAGAATCGGTGAGAAACAGTTAGCACCCACCTGCTCCCTTCCATCCCCGAGCTCCCGGCCACCCCAGAATCCTGCCCAAGAAGAGAACACTGAATTTACCTACCAGGTCCTCCTCTGGCCTCAGGTGCACCTTCTTCATCAGGGAGCGGGTGAGGTGGTTACACAAGGAGACAATGCTGAAGGAGAGCTGAGGGAGAGAGAAAAGGGGCTGTCAGGTGAGACTGTGCACAGAGACCTGCCGGGGCCCCCTGCTCCCCACCCCCAAACCCTGACATACCTTCCATCGCCTGCGGACATATTGCCTCTTGAAATTCTCCAGGTTGACCACAGACTCCCTGCGGACCAGGGCTTGCTGGTTGTCCACCGGCTGGGAGACAAAGCAGAATCTGGTGGCTGACACTGGGCTTGGGTCGGCAGCCACCACCCCTCCTTCTAACCCCCAGCCACATGCTGTCCTTAGCCTGACTCTGGCACCTCCTCATAGGGCAGGGCATGAAGAGGGCCATTGCATTGAGGCAAATGGTTACAGACTTCTCAGCTTTCAGGAGATGCCCTGGTGTCATTATAACACAGACAGACACACACTCTGGCTGGGCTGGAGACTTGTCCCCCCAGAGGGGAAGAATGGGAGGCAGGGCCTTCAATCACGGCTCACTTTGGGGAAGGGTCATTGGACAGCAGCCTAGGATGCCCACTGTGCGCTGGGATGGTACTGGGCTTAGCAAAACGGAGGGCAAATAGAACATTAGGACTCCGTTCAAAAGTAAATTGAAGGAAATAGGGGCTTCAGTGGAGAGGGAGAGGAAGTGGGATGTATAGTTGCCTTTCACAGCCTGGCAGTTAAAGCTCAGCTTAAATCCTGACTTCTCCAACAAGCTGGCCTAGCTTCACTAAGCCTCAGTTTTCTCATCTGTATTATGGGGATAAAAGCTTTATTAAGGTATAATTGACATATAAAAAAACTGGACATGTTTAATGTAAACAATTTGATGAGTCCATTCCCTCTTGAATTCCTCCCTTTCTGTAAAACAAAGTTTTCCTAGAGCAAAAGATAGGTTTCAGAGGTTCTATGAACCCCCTGAAATGGTTTGCAAATTTTAGTGTGCAAACTTGTACATGAATGTTCAAAGCAGCATTGTTCATAATAGCCAAAAAGTAGACACAACTGAAATGTGCATCATCTGATGAGTGAATAAACAAAATTCTCTACAATGGAATATAATTCAGAAATATTATTCATAATACAGTTGACCCTTCAACAATGCAGGGGTTAGGGCACTGAATCCCTACACAGTCAAAAACCCACATATAATTTTTGACTCCCCAAAAACTTAACCATTAATAGTCTACTGTTGACCAGAAGCCCCACTGGTAACATAGTCGACTGACACATATTTTGTATATGTTTTACGTGCTGTATTCTTACAATAAAGCAAGCTAGAGAGAATAAAGCGTTGAGAAAATTTTAAGGATGAGAAAATACATTTACAATGCTGTACTGTATTTATAAAAAAATAATCCACATAAAAGTGGACCCCCACAGCTCAAACCTGGGTTGTTCAAGGGTCCACTGTACTGACAGATGCTACAATGTGGATGAACCCTGAAAACATTATGTTGAGTGAAAGAAGCCAGACACAAAAGGCCATATATTGTATGATTCTATTTACATAAAATGCCCAGAATAGGCAAATTGATAGAGACAGAAATGAGATTGGTGGTTGCCAGGGCTAGAGAGCGGGGGGGCTGAGAGATGACTCTGAGAGGGTATGAGGTTTTTTTTTGGATTGACAAAATGTCCCGGAGTTAGATGGTGGTGATTGCTGCACAACCTTGTGAAGATACTAAAGACTACTGAACTGTATTCTTTTAAATGGGGAATTTTATGGTATGTGATTTATATCTCAATAAAAAATTTAATTTAATGGGTGTGTACACATATACATTTCTTCAAAGAGAGCTGATAGATTTCATCCATTCTCAGAAAGCTCTGTGACCTCAAGAAAATGAACTGCCAGGGACGACCCATATGGTCCCACCCAGCTTGATTTTTCTCTCTGCTCTCACAGCCTCCTCACAGCAATGCCTCATTTGGCTCCTCAGTGAATGCTGTGTGACGCCGCTCGTGGGTTCCTGAGTGCTGGTCTTGTCTCCCATCCGCGCTTGGAGCACTCCTCCATTCTTGCTGGTTTCTCATCATGGCGCTTGGCATGGGGAAGCCGGGGCATAGAGCTGGCCCACGCTGCTGGGGACCTAAAATCTCCCAGCAGGAGGCGCACTTTCCATGCCCACCCCAGCCCCTGTGCTCCCGGAAGGCCCCTGTGTGTTTCAAAGCCCAGTTCAAACATGACCTTCTCCAAGACAGCTTCCTTGAAAGGCAGTGACTCTCTCCCTGCCGGGACCGAAATACAGGTGAGCTCCCTCAGTATTTCTCACCAACCTCGGCCAGCTCTGCAGTGGGGCCGTCTCACTAGTGAAAAACACCTTGAGGGCACAGAAATAATTTTCTTCATGGTTTTGTCCGTGTCCTCTGCCCCACCTCCTCCCCACCCCGAGCAGACCCCCTGGGTGCTTAACAGCTATAACGTTAGTTTCCGCGAGTTGCTGAAGAGACACACTGGAATGAAATCCTCGGACCCGGGACCTGCTCACTCCTGCCAATGACAGGCCCGGGCTCCTGGATCGGAGGCCGTGACACCATGGCTCCCCAGGGCTCTGCCTGGGAGTCAACAGAGCTCTGTGGGGGGCAGGGAGCAGGGAGGAAAGTGCACATACCCTTGACATTGGAGGGGGGGATGAGAAAGCCAGGGGCTGTTCACTCTCCCAAACTAAAACACTCTTTGGGCCAAAGCCTGAGGGGGAATGAGGGGCGGGGAAGGAGGAAGACAGAGAGGGAAGAGAAGATGCCTGTAGCATCTGGGTCCTGCTCCACCCTGATTTCCTCGCCCCTCTCTCCTTTCCGTCACTGTGGTTCCTACAGTCTGCTTCCTGGCCCAGGAACCCAAAATCTCAGGGTCTTTGCCCTTGCTCCTTCATATATTCACTTTGTCACTTTGTTCGGTCTTTGCTCAAATGTCACTTCCTCAGGAAGCCTTCCTCGACTTCTGTATATGAAATAGCACCCCAACTGCCCCATACAGTGCACTGTGCCTGCACCCTATTTCTTCATAACAGGTGTCACTACCTGACATTTTATTCTGTATTTATTTGTTTTTTGTTACTCTCCCTCTCCCGCACCTCCCAGCAACCAGTATCTCCTTTCCAGGGTGATTTCCTGCCTCCCCAACCCACAGAACATTTCTACCTCTAACTTTACTGATGTCTGCGTTCACTTTTGAGCCTAAGCCCTGCAGGGGACACTTGTGCTTCACTTGGAGAGTTTGATGAGGTGGGATCAGCAGACTCTGGGAGGGAAGGGACCTCTTTTTATCCACTTACTGATTGGCACTCTTGCCAGAAGAGAGAGGCCCGAACCCCATGGCTGGAAAGTCAACACGCAGTTAGGGGAATCCCATTAATAAGAATCCTACCTTCCAACTAGTCCAGCAGTGCCAACCATGGAGCAGAGGGGCCCAACTAAAATATGAGGGGGGAGACCATTCCCAGAAGCCATTAATGGGAGGTGATGCCATTGCTTCTAGGGCCCTGTCTATGTGCTACACAAAACAGCATGAACTCTGAGAACGGGGCCACCCAGGCATAAATCTGTCAGGCTGGCCTTTCTTAATCAATGGGTCTCCTTGGTTGCCAAGAGGCTCACCACATGCTGACACTGCCATCTAATCCTTGAAAGTCAGAGACGTAAATTCTGCAGTGAAATCTGTTCCCAGAAGGAATGTGGCACCAACACTTTTGATTAAATTAGGGGTGTCGGGGGGGGGATGGGGCTGTGGTCTGCCTTCTCTTGGCCCTCCCCTCTCTGCGAACACACAGTACCCACCTTCCAACCTGAGGTCCTTTGGCCAGAGTATGGGCAATTCTGACCAGGCTCCTAGGAGCATGTTTAGTGTCTCGGAAAAATGTCGGGAAAGGAGGCAAGTAGACAAAACGCTGTGGCTGAAGTCAGGTTTTTTTTATGGAGATGCAAATGGCCTTGACAAAGTCCAGCAGGGTGTGCTGGGTCAGAACCGACGCCCACAGAGCAGAGAGTTGGAACAGCAGCTACCCCCCTGGGCACAAAAAAGGAACTCTCTTTATAAGAAGAGGCACTCCAGATTTTCTCTCAATACCAGGCCTCCTCTAGAAACTGCAAACGGATTCAACTTTTCAAACCTCCACCTGTGCCATTTCTCCAGCCCCATCCTCCATGGAAAGTCAGCGACACCTGAGCACCCACTTCCATCTCCAGCCTGGGTCTGTCTGTCTCCAGCCCCACCAATCTCCCTTAATCCAGTCTCTCTATAGGTGGCACCTCCAACTTTCCCTTTTGCTGGAATATGTATCCACATGATATTAAGGAATGATTCTTGGTTTTGTTAGGTGTGATAATGGTACAGGAGTAGTATTAAAAAGAAAGTGCTTAGAAATTCATGCTGAAGAATTTATGAGTGAAATAAGTCTAAAGTTTCCTTTAAAATATTCCAGAAACAGCGATGGTGCAGGTGCATGTGAGATCATGGGCCATAACTTGCTCACTGTTGCAGCTGGGTGAGAGGCATATGGAATTCACTATACTATTTTGGATATTTGTGAAAATTTCCCACAACCAAAAGTTCAAAGCGAAAACACCCCCTCTCTTAAATTTCTGTAAAGCTCCTCTTTTATCTCTGTTTAACAGGTCCAGGCTCCTGACCCTAATCTGGGCTCATGCCCACCCCTCCAAATTCTACGTGGCACCTTCTCAGGCTACAGCTTGGGAAGGAGGCGTTGGGGGGGGACCCTCCCCGAGAACGTTTCTGACCCTTGCTGCCCCTCTGACCCTTTCTCAGTCCAAATTTATCTCTCTAGTTTTTTGGAATATTGGGTACCTCTATTTTATCACTCAGCATGGCCTTTCCCATCTCCCAGTTCAGAGGCAAGGGGGTGGTTCCCATCTGTCGCAGACACTGAGTCTTTTATTCAGGGGTTGTCTTGTCCTTATCTGTCACCTCCCTTCAGAGCCAGAGCACAATCAGTGTTTGTCCAGATGAACTGGTCCCTTCTGCTCCTCAAATATGCCCACTGCTGGGTCTCCTCTACAGGGCAAAGAATCTTCTCCACAGGCCAAGAGTTTCACAGACAAAGGAGAAAAGGCCATTCAGTGCCACAGACATTTCCAGAGGCTGACAGTGGGGTTGGTGGCTGGGCACACAGCCACCTCCCACACGGGCTGGGTGCCCCGCCTGTCAGAGAGAGGTGGGGGGCTGCCGTCTTCATGATCACCTGTGGGGGAGGGTGGGCGGTACAGGGAGAAGGGCTCGCGGGGGAGACTGACTTCTCCTGCCATTATCACTCTGCCCCGTCCCTTCACTGCCAGCCCCCTCACCGGTTACCAGGCTCTCTCCACCTTTCCTCCCGCAAAGCTGAGCTATCACGTGCCATGTGCATCTGCCTCAGAGCGGGTTCAGGCTGCTGCCTTCCGCAGATGCCAACTCTCCAGCTTCCTTGGGAATCTGTAATCAGGAAGATGTCACATGCTCAGCCTCCCCGACAGCCCAGGGTCGCGTTTGCACAGAGCAGAGGCCAATCTCTCGATATGTGGTGAATGAAAACTCTTCCTTTGTGGCTGATGTGGCCTGGCAGCACCCCCCAGGCCTTCCTCCCTCTAGGTACCAGTGCAACATTCCCCTCCTGACACCCCATCCGGCCACTGTCAGCCCCGCCCTGCCCTTGACTCCACGGTTAGGACACCAGCTGTAGGCATGTGGCGGGGAATCCGGCGGATCCTCCAGCTGGGCGTTCCACAGGCCTCCTTGGGCTCTCCCCTTGGCATCAAGTTCTGATACCACAGGGTGACAGGAGTTGGACTGGCCAGGTGACAGAGGAAGGTCACAGCCTCCTCTAATTTCCCTGAAACACTTGGGGGCACGTCTCAGTTCATTTCAACTTGTGTTCAGAAGCTCTTAGGTACAGAAAAGGGCCTGTTTATTAAACATCTAAATAATAAATAGTTACCAATGACAGGACATGAACACAGAGAGGATGATTCCACGACTGGGAGGAAAACCACTCATGGTTCTGGCCCCAGCTCTGGGGGTGACCAGCTGCATGACTCCCGCCGAGTCTTGTCCTGTCAAATGCTGTAAAACGAGAGCGTCTGGTGGTTCGCCTCTCAGTACCTCCCAGCACGAACGGTGAGTGGCCGGTGCCACGATTCTGGACTAACCGCTTTCCCCTCCCTGTTCCCAGTCTCCTTAACTCAAATCAGCACCAACGTCTTACTCCTGTAGTGCCTTTTATCTCGACCTTCACAAGAAAGTTTAACCTGAGTTACTCAGCTGGGGGCTTCTTTCCTTTAGGAAATCTGGTTGTATGAGGTCAAGGTCTAGTGACATGGCTAAAGGGTGAGTAAGTTCTTGAAGAGACTGGAGACAGGTCATTTGTAGCCAGTCTCCCAGGCAGGGCACAGGAAACAGGGCTTCGCTATCTTCCATCTCCGATTCCAAATGCACACACTTTTGGACCTCTGAAATCAGGACTTCTCTTCTAACCAACGGCATCATATCATTACAGTGGGTCCAAAGTGAAGACAGGTGCTCCAGATGAACACACTGCTCCTGTTGGACATCAGGGGCCACCCAACCTCAGACCGTGTGACATTAGATTCTCTGCTTAAGGTTTGTTCGGATCACACGGATTGGGCAAATACAGAAAGCACACCTGCATGAGTACCACCCACCTGGGGCTCCTCTTCTCAGGAGAGGATTTTTCATCCCTCCATCTAGCATTAAGGATGAAACACACGTTTCCTTGCTTTCCCTTTTTGCACGATGGCTTTATTTCTTGGTTTGCCTTCTTCAGTGAAGGTGTCTCAGCTTTGGGGTGGGGGGAGGGGAGGCGGTCTCCTACCTCACTTGGCTTTTTTCTTTCTTATTTTCGGTATCTGAAATAACAACGCATCATATATTTGATGAAAATATGGTTTCTTACATTTGATAGAAACTGTTTCTGTTACAAATATTATATATGATATTTGAGATGATCTGGCAGGATAATGGAAAAGGAGGTAGGTTTGCATGGGGTCAAAATCTCATGTCTCATCCCAAACCACTTGCCATCTGTGCTGCTCACTGGCCATGCCCTCCCCCCGCCCAGCAGCGCAGGCTGCTGACTAGCCTGGCATCCATCATGGCTCCCCATGATTCTTGGGATGAAGGCAGAGCTCTTTAATATGGCAAAGTACCACTGGTCATGCCTCCTCTCCAGACCCATCTACACCATATATATATCCACCTTATCCTCTCCTTTCCAGCTTCCATGCCCCCTCCACCACCGAGCCCTAGCCCTGACAGCTCCGTCGGGAACACTTCTTTCTCCCTGCTTTGCTTCACAGACCTCGCCTCCAGCATCACCACCTCAGGGAAGCCTTCCCCGACTAGATCAAACCCCTGCTGCCAGCTACACACTTCTCTTTCATAGCATGTGTTCCACCTGCACTTCTGTACTTGCAGAATGTTCTAGATTAATGTTGGAATCCTCTTCCTGACTGTGAACTCCATGAAGGCAGGAAATGAGCCTGTTTTCACTCAACATTGTATCCCCAGTGCCAACCCGACTGCCCGGCAGTTGGCAGGTGCTCAAACATTATTTGTCAATAGACGGATGGGTGAGTCTGGGTATCCCTGCCCTATAAGCAGAGAATAAACTCCTGGAGCCTGGGGCAGTTAGGGGAAGCAAGAAAGAGCAAGAGAGTATCATCAGAAGGGTGCCACTTTTACCACGACCGTGGCCTTGGGCAAATCACAGCCTCTCTGTTTCCGCATCTTCAAATTGGGAATAACACCTACCCTGCCTATCTGACAAGGGTGTTTTGTGAATCTGTGAAGTCAGTTTGAAATGATACCATCTGGTCCCTCACCCCCAAGCTTCTAGCCCAGTGCCAGGCCCACACTCCACCACGCTCTGTCCATATGAGCTGGCTGACTGGCCCCTCCAGGGAGATGACCTCACACGGTCCTCAGGGAGGTGTGCTCAAAGCTTGGCGTCAGGCAGGGACCACTGAGCCTGTGCTTCCCAGTCTTAAACTCTCTCAGAGTTTCTCAGCCCTTTCAGGGTCCCAGTGCCCTAGGTACATAAGAAAAGGGACCTTCTTGTTGAGTTCCTTTCGGTCTTCATTCCTAACACAAGGTTGGGGCCTTTAGCTAGAAGGGGTAGAGGGGAAAAGGGGGAGATGCTGCCCCTCGCCTACTGCTCTGCAAGCTGATCTTCAGACAGGGATAGGGCTAGATAGGACCCACGAACCGCACCCTCCAGGACCCACTTCTTGGGACAATTGTCTAAAGGAATGGGGCATTCTACTTATACCTGGCAGAATACATGAACTAGAGGAAGTTGCTAACTTTACCTCTGGACCTGAACTTCAACGTGAAGGTGGATACTTATAGCAAAGTCTCACTATTTCTTCCCATAGACCTCATCTGAGGGTCAGGCTTCTTAGGTTTCTGTTCCATCCATATCGACCAGCTACGAAAGACCTTGAGTAAGTTACTTGTCCTCTCTGTATCAATTTCCTCAACAGTTACATGGAAATAATAGTAACAACAATAATAATACCACCCACCTTCCTGCTCACAGAGTTCTTTAAAAGATCAAAGACGGAAGTGCTCAGTAAGTGAAAAGCCAGTGCAAATAAAAGGTAATATTTTCTCCGTGCATTTTAAATCCCTCCTTCTGTAGCAGGAAAGCACCACACTGGCTTATTGTTATCCTTAGCTAAGGCAAAGATTGCCCTTTAGTCTGCAGTCCCTAAGGCACAGAGATGGGAAGTGAGGTGTGAACAAATCCATTATTACAAATTAATTATCAAGCATCTCCCCAGGGCCAGCCATCCTCCCTCCAGAGAAGGGTTTGCGGAGGGGTATTCACTTACAATTGTTTGAACAGCCTGCTGTTTAAACAGGCTGCTCTCTGTGCCAGCCACCCTCCCAGAAACCCAGGTTGGTGAGAGGAGGTGCAGAATGAATAACTAGCTAGCACCTTCCTGGTTCTGGATTCTGTGAAGGGGGTGGAAGGCTCTGCTACAGACACACACCCCACAGGATAATTCTAGCTGATGCCCTGGCAGGGCACTCGGAAGCACGCTTCTGCAAATCATCCAGGATGCATCACCGACTAGATTCTGGTACTCAGAGCTTCAAGCCGGCCAAGACTTCCTTGCTGGCTGATCTGTCGAGCAGCTCCACTAGGGACTCCCTGGCGTCCCTGTGGAACATGGAGCCCAGGCCATCTGCGTTCCTATTCTCCAGCTGGAAGCTGCCCACCAGTTCCTGGATCCACTGTAGGTCTGCTGAGCACTCCTGCCTTAAAGCTTCAAACTGTGCCTGCAGATGGTCCAATTTCCTGGCCATGCTTCCGAGGCAGTCCCCTGTGGCCTGGATGTCTTCTCGCAGGAGCTTCTTCAAGGACTCCACTTTGCGGAACTCGTACTTGAGCTGGGATAGGTCATGCCGGGTACTCTCGCTCTCCTCTCGGTACCAAGCTTCCTTCTCGTTGTATATGGAGACCAGGGCCTCCACATCGTCCTGGATGGTGTCATGGGTCCCTGCCAGGGCACGGCATCCCTGGTCGACCTGAGCCACGTCCTCTACTACACGGGCAAAACGCTCAAAGTTGACGTAGGTGTTATTGGGGGGCATGCTCGAGTGGCATTTGAGGGTGTATTCTCTCAGGCGCTTGGTCTTCAGCTGGGGAGGTTCTGTCTTCTGCTGTTCCGGGGCTCTGACTTCTCCTTTGGACTGGTGGGTGTTTAGATAGAACAGCCAGAATTAAGTTGATGCCTGATCCGAAGGACAGTTCAAGGTGCAGGCAGAAGGCACACATTCACTGCACGCATCAGGCCACGGGGAGGACCACGGTGGGATGAGCATCCCCACAGATGATGAATAAGATTAAAGAGTACAGGGGTGCTGGCTGCATGCTCACTTCAGGGTGGGGGAGGGGTCCACGGCCATTAGAGGAGGTTTCCACACGCACAGCATTTAGGGAGCTCACACAGGCAAGCAGGCTATAGACAGGACTCTGCAGGCATCCACTCAAAGGTAGGAGCAGACAAGGCCATGGCTGACAGAGGGGAGCTGAGGGACCTTTCTCCTTCAGGGCCGGCTGGCATCCCAGGCCTAGGCAACTCAGCACACTAAGCCTGAGAGACTCCCTCACTCTGGGCTCTGGGCCCACTCCAAACCTAGAGGGCCCTTGGCCTTCCCCATCCTTTAATGAGCAGAGGAGCGTGACCTTCTCCGAAGCATTCCAGCCCTCCCTGCCCTCCATCCTCCACAGGCCTTATCCTTGTGCATCTGCACGCTCAGATCATCCTAGCCAGCCCTCTCCTTGCAATGCACGTGAATGGGAAATCTAGTGAGACCCAGGGGGTGCACATCTCGTCAGTCAGCAGAAGTAGGGCCAGAATCCCGGTCTCCTGATTCTCACCCCACCAAAGGGTTTTGGTTTTTTTTTGTAAGTAATCTCTATGCCTTGTGTGGGGCTTGAAGGCTTGAACTCCCAACTCCAAGGTCAAGAGTCACATGCTCTGCAGCTGAGCCAGTCAGACACCCCTCGGCAAAGTGCTTTTAACTAGCACTTCACTGTGGGCGCCTGGGTGGCTCAGTCGGTTAAGTGACTGCCTTCGGCTCAGGTCATGATCCTGGAGTCCCGGGATCGAGTCCCGCATCGGGCTCCCTGCTCAGCGAGGAGCCTGCTTCTCCCTCTGACCCTCCCCGCTTTCATGTACTCTCTCTCTCTCTCATTCTCACTCTCTCAAAATAAATAAATAAATCTTAAAAAAAAACAAACAAAAACTAGCACTTCACTGTGCTGTGACTAGACAGCAAGACCCTCCCCAAACCAGCGGCTGGAAGCCCAATTACGAAGCAGGTTAGGCGGGGAGTGGCCTTCGTGCCCCCACATCCCCAGAGGGAACAGCATTGCTCTGGGGGTGGCCACCTCTCTTCCCCACCAGGCTTCCATCTCTGAGCCCTGTTCTGGTCAGAGTGTCATCCTTTACTCTGAGCGCCGAAAGTTAGAAAGAAGGAGCCTTGGTTACAGAGTTGAGGTTTTAATTGTCATTGCTTTCTCTCTACAACTTGCGAGTCCTGATTTCTGCTTTGAGAGTGCTAGCGACACGTCCTCTGACAAAGTACGCCTTGTAAGATGGCCCCAAACATAAAGGGTTTCATCGGAGCTTTGTGAGGTTTCATTTCATAAGTCACCTGAACCTGTGAAATATAAACTTAAACCTATGAACCTAATTTGAACAAATCCAGACCATTTGGCACCCCTGCCCGGCTTTCATCTGTGCCTGAGGGTGGGTGTTTCTAGCAAAGGTCTTTCGGTGGGCCCTCTGCATCTGGCCACCCACCCAGAGAGATTGCCGACCTGCCTGCTCACTGGCACTCCACACCATGCCCTTACCGTGATCCAGGGATGTCTGAGAGCCTCCTGGATTGTGAGCCGTTTCCTGCAACGAGGATCAGAAAACAGTGATGATCCATGAGGACAGAAGCTGAGAGCAACGGTCTCCATTCTTACTCTTGTCAGACCCGCACTGTGGCATTCTTTGACCATTGCCATCGAACCAGAATAATGGGGGATGCAGAGACGGATGGGGAACTGGCTGAAGTCCCCGCATTCCAGAGAAAGTGGTCCAGACAGGCCCCTCAGTAGAGTGACATTACATAAACCCTCATCTTTGGTCCCGAACTTGAAGGGCCTAACGCCACACTCTATAAGAGTCATTAAGTGCTCTTGTGAGCGTTAGCTCTCCACAGACCATGAAACCTTGGTGTTTTTCTATTTGCTTCCCAGATCCCTCTTCCGTCCTTCCTGCTCTGGTAGGGACCTGACCTAGCACTGCCTTTGGATGGGGAAACCAGGCCCCTGCCCTTTAGAGGACCCCATTCTGGCTCTCTCTGAAGTCTGTGGGACCAAGGGGACATGGCCTTCTAGAATCTGGAGATCTCATTCCTGTCCCATCTAGTCATGCTCTGGGCACCCAGCACCTTAGAATCCCCGGCCTATCTCCTGCTTTGACTCCAGAGCCAAGGGGCTCACCCTGGGCCCTAAGAAGGGGTAGGATTAGCATGTCTCCTATTCTCCCACTTACTGGCCCCTCTGAGTCTGCCTCCCCCAACTCCCACCTGAATTGGTTTAGAAACTCTGCCACTTTCCTTTTCAAATCCTAGTTCTAGGCGCCTTTGGGACAGACGGGAAAAGATGATGTGCCCGAGAGAAACACAGGCTGATTTTCAAACGTGCACGCGTGCACACACATACACACAGAGTTATTTGTATTCTGGCAAGAAAGAAAGACTTGAGCAAGCAAGATGAATGCCAAGTCTCAGCTAATCCACACTTCTCAGCACCCGCCCAGATTAGACCACAATGGTGCAGATGGCAGCCCATGGCAAAGTAGGGACAGAATGACATGTCTTTGGGAGAGGGGACAGGAGAAGCTCAGTACCCAAGAAGCTCATGCCTTCCTCTCTCTTCTTACCGGGTGTCTTTAACCAGAAGCTTCCGAATGAAGTCCTTGGCGAGCTCACTGGTCTGGCTGAAGAATTCCTCGTCAAAGTCATAACTCACTGCTGTGATATTTGCTAGCGTTTCCTGCTTCGTGTCTCCCAGGAAAGGGGATGCTCCACTTAGGCTGAGCACACAGAGAGGTAACACGTGACTGTAGGTAAGTAGACAGAGGTGGGGGTGATGGAGTCAGGGAACCCTGACTCGTACTATTGCATGGGGATGGGAGGCTCCTAGCAACACCGCCTGCCCCCCTCTGGGCAGCCAGTCAGCAGCCTTTTCAGCTAACAGTTGAATTCAATCTGCTTTATGGAGCTACTACTAAGTACGCGACAGAGAGAAACTGTGTCTGCAAGGAACTTAAGAGGAGGGACATGGCTCTTCATAATCCCAAGCAGAATAAAGCAGAAAAAATGGAAGACCAGATGAAGGACTGGGGGAGCACAGGACAGAGGGGAAACCCAGTGCAGGCTTCATGGGGGGGTTGACATTTGTATCAGCTGCGTTTTGAAGAGTGAAGAGGTTGTCAGCAGTCAGAGGAGATGAAAGTTCTTCTAGACTAAGGGAGCAGCTTGAGCCAAACCTGAGAGGTGTGGGAAGAGATGGGCCATTAGGGCCTAGATAGGTGTGTGAAGTTCCCTTGCAGGGTTTGTCAAGAATGTATCATTCAGATAGTGACTCCCAAATCTACTGTTTCCTGACTCATATTGGGATACCTCTTATGGGATACCTCTCCCTAGATGTGCCATTGTCACTGTGCCCTAACCTCCCTCCATGAGCTCCCTGCCTTGATTAATGATGTCCCTTCACAGATGCACCCAACCTAGAACACAGGGACCACCTCTGACTCTTCCATCCATTCCCTCACCACATCTAACTGGCCCCAAACTCTTGTTGGTTTTATTTACTAAATATCTCTTGCAGGTCATCCCCAACCCACTGCCACTTGATTGGCATAGTGGCAGCAAGGTACACTGGGAAAATTTTGATATTTCAGTCCTGGATTTGAATCCCAGCTCTGCTACTCAATAGCTGTGTGAACCTAGGTAAGTTACTCAACCTCTCTGAGCTGCAGTTTCCTTCTCTATAAAATGAAGAACATAAAAGCCTCCACCTCACATGATTTTGTAAAGAATAAATACACTGGGGCGCCTGGGTGGCTCAGATGGTTAAGCATCTGCCTTCGGCTCAGGTCATGATCCCAGGGTCCTGGGATCGAGTCCCGCATCGGGCTCCCTGCTCAGAAGGGGGCCTACTTCTTCCTCTCCCTCTGTTGTTCCCCCTGCTTGTGCTCTTTCACTCTCTCTGTCAAATAAATAAATAAAATCTTTAAAAAAAAAAAAAAGAATAAATACATTGACAATGCTCCGGGCAATATTGCTCATTCTAAGTGCTCTGGAATTGGTGGCCATTATTTCTGTCTTTGAACCCAAAGAACCTTCTATGACTCCCCATTTTCTACAGGATCACATCTAAACTCTGGGGCAGGACATCACAAGTTAGTTCCTGCTACCTCCTCAGTACATTTCACCACACTTAACAGGCACACTGCTTCCTTCCCCAGCAGACAGCCCTTCCCTCCCTTTCCACCTACAGAATCAATCTCACTCTGTACAGCCCAGTTCAGATGAATCTCAATCTCTATCTCGTTAAATCTTCCACAGCCCCAGCAAACCAGTGCCCCTCCCAGCCATGTCTCACAGAGACGTGTTCATACATCCAGCGTGACTTTGGTCCCACTGAGTGCGACTTAGCTGTGTGGTGTCTCCCCCCGACACAGAGAGCTCCAGGCAAGCAGGGCAGACCTCCTTCATGTCAGCATCCTACATGCCTGGCCCAGCGCCTGCCACAGAGCAGGCACTCAAGAAACTGTGTGGGACTCCAATGAGCTGCAAGAAGGCTATGTGCCTTGTACACACTGAAATTTCTCAATATTTCAATACGGAAATCAGAGTTTTGAAAAAAAAAAATCAAGGTTTCAAGAGCCAACGCAGAATCTGGAACCATCGAGCACTGCATCAGATTCTTTCTCTGCATCCAATTCCTCTGGGGCTTTTAAAAAGTACTGATGCCTAGGCGCACCTGGGTGGCTCAGTCCATTAAGTGTCTGATTCTTGATGTCGGCTCAGGTCATAATCTCAGGGTCCTGGGATAGAACCTTTCGTGGGGCTCTGCGCTCTGCGGGGAGTCTGCTTGAGGATTCTCCCTCCCCTCTCCCTCTGCCCCTCCCCCAACCTGTGCGCACGTGTGCGCGCGCGCTCTCTCTCTCTCTCTCTCTCTCAGTAAACACATAAATCTTTTTTAAAAAACTGATTAAGGGCGCCTGGGTGGCTCAGTTGGTTAAGCGACTGCCTTCGGCTCAGGTCATGATCCTGGAGTCCCGGGATCGAGTCCCGCATCGGGCTCCCTGCTCAGCAGGGAGCCTGCTTCTCCCTCTGACCCACTTCCCTCTCTTGCTCTCTATCTCTCATTCTCTCTCTCTCTCAAATAAATAAATAAAATCTTTAAAAAAAAAAAACTGATTAAAAAATAATGATGCCCAGACTCCATCCCTAGCAATCCTGAGATAATAGATCTGCAGTGGATCTGGGCAGCGGTAGGTATTAAAAGGTCTAACGTGCAGCCAGGATCGAGACCTTCCTCCGCAGCTCAGGGGGGTCCACCACGTCGTACAGAGCTTCCAGTCTGTGGGCTGCTGGAAAAGTCAGAGAACTGGTGGATGGGGGTGTGGGGCGCTGGAGCCCCCACGGCGCCTCTGGCTGCGGGTGGACTCTTACCCAGTGTGCCCTAAAAATAGCACGTCCCAGGTGTGCAGTGAGGGGAAGCACTGCTGGAATGCACGCTGACTCATCAGCCACGTGCCACGTGCCAGAGCCGCGCCGGTAGCTTTGCACGTGGCGGCTCATCTAAGCCGCCCAGCACACCCGTGGGCAGGAAGTTTGAGATTCTTATTTTCCTGATGAGGAAAACAGGCCCAGAGGTTAAGTATCTGCCCAAGGCCACAGAGATCGAAAGTGACAGATCCACTGCACATGGAGCTCCACGGGAAATGGCTACTTAAGCAACTTAATACTTCGGGGCTGGGAAAGAGGCTCTGGGGAGAAACAAGAGAGCTTGTGAGAACTGGGGAAGGAAGGGGAGAGGGGGGAGAAAGACGCGGGATCGGGGAAGGCATGGCAGCCCGGAGGGCCGGACTAAGGCTTCTGGGCGAAAGCCGACGTGGTCACAGGACGTGCAGCCTGGGTGAGGCTGAGCCTGTGTGTCTGGCCACAGTGGGGATGCTGACAAGGCTCCACCTCCGCCCCAGGGCCGAGCGTCTGAAACGGAGCTAAGAGCACAGACCGCCAGGTGTGCCGTCTGGATCGAACACATCTGGCTCATGGGAAATGAGGAAATGAGGAAAATCAGTAAATTCAATCGGCCTGCCCCTCTCTCATTCCTCCCGGGTCCCCTGGATCCAAGCTAGGTCGGCGCCCCGGCATTGGGGATACTCACAGGATGTATGTGATGACGCCTATGCTCCTGAAAAACAAAAAAAACAGGCCAGTCAGAGCCACCTGGCTCTGGTCCCAGCCCAGCAAGGGACTCCCCCGAACGGTCCTCAGGGGAAGGGGTCACTTGCCCCTCCACGGCGGCCTAAAGATGCCATCTCAAGCCCATGACCCCCTCCATCCTGCCCCTCAGCAGCAGCCAGGGATGCGTCTGGAGTCATCGAGCTCTGGACATTCAATCCGAGGACCCGAGTTCAAGATCAGGCTCTTGCACTTGCAGGCTGTGATTGGGACAAGTCCCTTATCATCCATCTCTGAGCCTCTTTCTGGTCATAAAATGAGGGTAATGAAAACTACCTCACAAACCTGCTGCGTGGATTTTAGAAAACCAGGCAATCAGGGTACTCAGCCAACTATAAAGCCCTGTGCAAATGAAATGAGTCCTCTCTGTGCAGAAAATCCACTACAGTATCCCCGGGGGCCCCACCCAGTGCTTAGAGCCTAAGAGGCTCTCGGTGATCACTTGGTTAACTGAATGAGCTATCGTTACTATTTCTTTTTCATGGCTGTGGCAGGCCTCAGGGCTGAGCCTGTACTTGCAGCCTCACTTCTCCCCTGGTCTCTGTGTGGCCATGTTCTAACTGGCCTCAGGTCCAGGCCTGGCTGCCTCCAGCTGCCTGGGCCGCGGGTCCAGCACACTTGGAGCAGCCAGAGGCTCCGAATGTGTGGAGAAAGGGGTTTTCATGGTCGAGGGGGATGTCAGCCGGAGCCGGGGTCTGAGGCCTGCTGCCTTTGAAAGGATCCCTAGGTCACGTGGGTGGCCTGTACAACTTACCACATGTCAGCCTCCAGGCCCAGGGGCTCGTAGTTCACAATTTCTGGAGCTGAAAGAAGCCATATTGAAGAATCAGCAGGAGAATGAAAATGAGAAGACATGGCTCGAGAGAATTTTAGGGTGTTTGGTGACAAATGTCCCCCTCCTGAATCCTCACTAAGGAAAAATCAGAGCAACAGATGGAGATAATTCTGGGCCTAAGAATTCTGAGAAATGAAGTTGCCGGTTATTCTGGTGGAAAGCTTTTACACAGAGGCCTTCGTAGTGAGGAAGAGGGACACCTGGAAGAGGAAGAGCAGGGTGGCATGAGGAAGATGCAGGAAGGGGAAATGGGGCCTAGCAACAAGGCCTGCTTTAGAGCTCTCTGGTGGAAACCAGTCAGGTCAGCGCTGGAAGGTGATAATAAAGAAAAGAAGGCAGAGGGGGAATCCACATTCCTGAGTCTGGCCTGAAAGAGGGGCACCTCCCCACTGAGTTGAGAAGGAAGACATTGTGGGGCCAATGACATGATGAGCCTGAGGTGCCCGAGGGTCATCCAGGCAAACATGTCCTGGGAACGGGAGAGGGAGTCAGAACGATCAAAACCTGAGTCATTCGTTGTACAGGTGGAAACAGGAGCTGTGTGGATGACATGGTGACCAGGAGTGGGTGCAGAGTCTAGGAAAGAAGATTCTACCCAGGACAGAAGAGGGCCAAGTGCTGCCCAAAGATCCAGCAGGCAAGCACTTGGAAAGTGAGTAATGTCCAGAAAGTGCCCGGATGGTGGAAGTCGAGATAAGAGTGTAGACGACGCCATAAAAAAACTTGGCCATGAAACAGAGGAGAAAGAGAGGTGAGTAGCTAGAGAAGAGAGAAGGGCTGAGCCTGTTTGATCATAATGGCAAAAGGGAGACAGTGGGAAAGGCAACGTTTCTTCATCTAGAACAATATTAAAACCACTGCATCTAGGGGGTGTGCCCACCTTCCCACCTGTCCCTACTTTGAGACACAAGGAACCACTTTTCTGGCTTATTTTTTAGCTTCATAAAAATGATGTCATACTAGATATGATGTAGTCACTTGGTGCCCCCCCCCTTAACATTATGCTTCTAGCATTCATTCAGGGTTCATCCAGGGTCTTTCGTTTTCACTGCCATGTAACAGTCCACTGAGCAAATATATAGCATCTTCCCTTCACGGTCCTCTCAGTGATCATTTGGATGGTTTCCACTTCTTTTCTTACTGGAACAACATTGCTATGAGCTTTTTTGCACACGTCTCCTCACAAACATGAAAGACTTCCTCTTGGACAGTGATTCATGGTGCGGTCTGAAGACAGTCCCTGGTCCAGACACACCAGGTACAGAAATTGGGAGTAAGCATTTAGAAACTCGTAGAGCAACTTGACATTGCCGTGACATTCAAATTGTGATAATTTTTCTAGGGATTTATTTTTCTCGTATCTCACTGAAGAAGCAGTCCAGGACAGATTGAAGACTTTTTTTTTTTTTAAAGGATGTTAGCATTTTATTTTTTTTTAAAGATTTTATTTATTTGAGAGCGAGAGAATGAGAGATAGCTTTTCCCAGTCTTTCACCAAAGAGAGTTTGAGAAACACAACTCATTTTCCAAGCTTATCTGCTTGATATGCATATACACACACTTCTGTCCTCTGTGTGCTTTTGTTGGTCCATTTTCTTCTGTGCTTTCCTTCTTTCTTGTTTTTTTTTATTACTTTTCTTATTGTTTTCCCCCCTACTTATATTTTTGTAATGGCCACTCTTGAGACTTTAGAATGGCTATGTAACAAATTCTAACATAAAGCAGTGTTTTGACCTTCCTTTAACAATACAAGAACCTTAGAACACTAATTTCAAGCACTCTCTCCTAACATTATTTTCTTCAACTTTTAGTTCTTTTTTTAACCCCACAATTAAAACATTATTATCATCATTTTAAACAGAAAGTGTTTATATTTGCCTATTGTTTACTCATTTCTTCGCTCCTACTACTTGTTGCATTGAGACTTCCCCTCAAAGGTCATTTTATTCACAAGCACATCTTTGGGAGTTCTATTAATAAATGCCCGTTGGTGGTTAATTGTTTCATGGTTTGTCTTTTTTGTTGTTCATTTGTAATTTTTTGTTGTTCATTCTTGAAATATAACATTCCTGGGTATGCAATTATGGGTCCTTTTTTTTTTTGAGGATGTAATTGACTTTTATTAAGCAATTCATGAATCAGCATCCCATCTAGCAAGTAGAGATATGCTCCCTATTGGTTTTTTATTTTTCCTCAGCTCTTCGAAGATAATATTCTTTTTTTTTTTTTGAGTTTTAAAATGAGTTTATTCAAGAATGTTCTTAGGAAGGCAACAATGTTTGTTATTAAAAAAACTTCTGTTTCTTCATGCTGAAAAGGTAATGTAAGAGGCTAGAGTTATAGGCTTTCTATTGGAATTCTGATAGTATATATAACACAGTGTAGTCATTTCTGCGATGCCAGAATAAATAAAAAAAAAGTCTCTTCTATGCTTCTCTTCAAAAAAGCGATGAATAATAACAGAAGATGGCGTTAAAAAAGCCATTTTTTTTTCAATTCATTCTGTAGTATTGGAGCCAGTATTTTTACCATCACAGGCTACAATTTTCACTTTATCCACTTTAATAAGTTCTGTCACCTCTCTGAATTCAACATCATTCAAAACAAAAGTCCACACGTTATCGCAGAATCTGTATGTATTTAGAGAGAACCTGAAATTGACTCTGTTCCTGACCCTCTGCGCCAATGCTGAATTTATAGCTTTATCAAACTGAAGTAGAACTTGAAGGGCAAGTTGGGGGGTGATCTGTTGAGACTGTATGAGCTCATCAAGGCTCTCCTGGAGACTGTTTCCCAAAGTGGTGTTTCTGTATAACTGATATGCCATGGCTTAGAAGGAAGAAATTGTTTTTCTTGTTCAGGCTTGCATTGATGTCCTGTGGGGAAGGCGCTTCCCGCCGCGGAGCGGACAGAAGCGGAGGAGCGAGCAGCCCAGCAGGAAGCACCTAGTTCCCGACCACCTCCAAAGATAATATTCTATCAGACATCGGCTTCCATTGTTGTTTTGAGAAGTATGCTGTAGGTCTAGTTTTTTAAAACTTGTATTGATTGATTGATTGATGATCTGTCTTTTCTCTCTGGCTACTTTTAAGATGTGTTTGCCTTTGGTAACTTATAGTTTAACTGTAATGTTAGCTTTAGTATAACTATAATGAATTTACTTTTATTGTTTTCTGTTTGATATACATGTCCTTTCTGTGTCTGGGGATGCACGTTTTTACAACAGTTCTGAAAATTCTCAGCCATCTTCTTCAAACATTGCTCCTCTGTTGTCTCCATTCCCTCCTCTGGGATTCCAAACAGACCTATGTTAGGCTTTCCATTTTTACCCTCTTACACTTGTCCTCTATTTCATATTCCCGTGTCTTTGTCCTTCTGTGGTATTCTAGCTAATTTTTCCAGCTCTGCCTTTCAATTTTTCAATTTTCTCTTCAGCTGTGTAAAATCTGCTGTTTAACCCATTCACTGAATTTTAAATTTCTAGGAATATATACTGAATCTCTCAAACTTCTATCTGGTTCTTTCTAGAATTTGCCTGCTCATTTTTGACAGTCTCTTGTTGCTTGCTTATTCTTGTGTTTCTATCTTTTATTTCTAGACACATTCCATTTATTTTATACTCAATATCTTATGTCCACGGATATCTAAGTCTTGCTGGCCTCTCCCTGAAACGCTGATACATACCCTTGCCTTTGGGAGAGGTCCTTCTACTGAATTCCTTTGCTGCTCACAGCCCCATGTCTAAGTTCATTTCACTGGCTTTGGAGGTGGGCCCAGTGATGCTGGAGGAGTTACTACCCTTAAAGATTTCTCTTATTTCCTATGAGTTCATAATTTCATTAAAAAGAATATTTTTCTCAAGAATCCAGTTTTGTAGCAGGAGGGCTTTTGGAAGACCAGATCCACCACACTCCTAGAGGCTGGCAGTAATAACTTTTCAACACTGTGCCCCCAGGTTCAAATTTCAAAGGAATGTGGGAGAAGGACAAGTGATTATAACCCCGTTTCTCAGGAGTCCTGGGTAAAGAAAGTCATCATAATTTGGGCAGGGACCTAAAGAAGTCACCTTACATATCTGTGAGGCACACACAAAATCAGTTCTGGGCTGGAGCTTGGTCATACTGGCTCACCAGAGTCAACTGTGTGCATCTCTTCCCAACCCTGAATTCAGTGACAAGTTGGTAGCTTAAAATTGGCAAATGCTATAAATCAGGGTTGTGTTTTGTTTTGTTTTGTTTTGTTTTGTTTTGAGACCCCGTTGTTAGACATTAAACAGCATACCACTGGAAAAAAACCTCCACAGTCTGGCCTACTCATCAATATCCCACTCACATGGCCAGTCTGATGATGGGAACTCTCTGCTCCATCCGGAGTGGACAGTGAACTATCCCCAATAAATGCACTAATTTTGGCCCTGCTATAAACGACTGAACCTGGGATGTGCTCCTCCTCTACCCTGGCTCTGTCCCCATCCCTCTTCAGACACTTGTCCCACCCACAACACCAGCCCTTTGTCTCTCATTGACTCAAGCATGGCTGATCCCACTGACTTTGCCAGAGTGGCCATCTTGTTTGAATAGTCTTTCAGAGACATCTCTATCATTCACTTTATAATTAATCACATCCTGTCTTGTGACACTTCTTCCACTATTGCCCTGAATTTCTTGTTGAACCATTTGTTGTTGATTAACACTTGGTATGAACTTAACTAAATAAATATATGCATTTTATCTACATATGTGAATAGTGGACAGCAACTGCTATCTTGGACAAAGTTCAAGAATAGATGTCTTGTGCCCCGGGTTCAAGTTGGTTCTGCCACTAACTCACTGTGTGACCTTGGATGTGTCATTCTGAGTGTGACTCCTTGCCATGACTGTGTCTCCAGTACCTCACCTAATATCTGTTAAACAGTAGATGGAGAATAACCATTGCTTGACCTTAACTAAAATCCCCTAGCCTTCCAATTCCACATTTGTTAAACTAGACCAGATGACCTAAAAAGATCCTTCTAGCACTCTTACTTGATGGTTTGATGTCTTGTTTCCACAACTAAATTGTAAGCCTCCTGGGGGGAAGGTCTTTATAGAGAGATGACCCAGTGTAACCAAAAGAGCACAGGCTTTGATGTTGGCTGTATCTACATTTGAATCTTAGCTCTACCACCTACTGGTTAGTTTGCCTTGAATAAAGCATTTGATAGAGAAAATAATTAAATCCGCTTTATGAGGTTGTTTGAAGATAAACTGAGATACTGTCTGTAGGGCACCAGCATAGTGCCTGGCACGCAGAAAGGTTCCCCTACCTTGGGGTCTCTGGGGCCTTGACAGCACTGTTCCAGAACGGCCGTGGATCCATCAGAATGGATGATCTGACACATTCTATTTTCCTTTTTGATTAGACTGTGGTCAGAAGTTTCCGCCTCCAGGTTTGGTGGAGACCACACCCTCCCTCCATTTCCAAGACCACTCCAACTCCCAAAGCAGAGAGACGGTGGTCCTCAGTTCTCATTCCTCTCCCTTCTGCAAGGCTGTCTCTCTAGGACCCCCAGCCTGCAGCCCCAGTCCCATGAGGGGGTTTCTAGGGCCTGAGCCAAGGCTGAGAGAAGCAGAGGGAAGACAGTGCTGCCAGGGCCCTGCTCCCGGTGCCGCCCACCCCCCATGCACGAATAAAGGCCAGGCACACAGGAGAGGTGAGTGGGCGGATCTGGCATTTGGCAGATGATTTCCCTTTTCCTTTTCAGGAAATCAAAAGCTGCTCCAGAGAAATTTGAGTTTATGGGAATGCCAGAGGGCGAAGTAATTTTTAATCTTCACAATAAATTCAACTAAGAGCAGGGGGGTGGGGCCAGCTCTGGGAGGGTCTGACTCAGAAAAGACCTGTAGCCCCACCTGGCCTCCCCCTCCCCCACTGGGTGCTCAAAGCCAGCACCTGAACTCTTACCTAGAAGACCAGCAGGACATTTTATTTCTAAGGCGGGGGCGGGGGGGGGGGCACTCTCCAAGGCATCACCTCTCAGCCCAGAGACCACAGCCCTAGACACAGGGTTTATTCCCGGAATTTCTCTACCTTTTGATCCCAGATGCTTTTGTGGGAGAGAAACAAGCCTATAACTCACCAACAAATTCTGGCGTCCCAAAAATGTTCTTAAATTCAACTCCATCTTCTATTTCATGAGCCAGGCCAAAGTCAATCAGCTTGATGTGTGGAATGGGAATATTCTTGTCTAACAACATAATGTTTTCTGGCTGGAGAACAAAAAAAAAAAAAAAGAAGGAAAGGAAGAAAAGATGGTAATTAAAGCCCTGTTTTGTGTCTTCACTTTGGGGTTAGGGTGAGGTTTGGTATTCTTTTTTAGGAGACTAAAACTCTTGGGGCGTCTGGGTGGCTCAGATGGTTAAGCGTCTGCCTTCGGCTCAGGTCATGATCCCAGGGTCCTGGGATCGAGCCCCACATCAGGCTCCTGGCTCAGTGAGGAGCCTGCTTCTCCTTCTCCCTCTCTCCCTGTTCATGCTTTCTCTCTCTCTGTATCTCTGTGTCTCAAATGAATAAATAAAATCTTAAAAAAAAAAAAAAAGAGACTAAAACTCTTTCTTGTTTTTGTGTCCTGTATTTTCCTGCGAACTCAAAAACAGGCACAGTGCTGAGGGCAAGGCCCAGGTTTTACCAAGCCTGCTGCTTACAGCAGAACCAGAGACCTTAGCTTCTGTCTCTGAATGGCAGATCCCTTTAATGCAGTGCCTGTTTCTCGATATGTTAGATGGGGCCAGTGAGAAACTTGCAGCATTTCCTGTAAACAAAACCACTGCCCCCATGTGAGGATGGGAGGGGTGGGAGCCTAGCAGCCTAGCCTCGGTTTACACTTGGCTTATTAACCTTTGCTTCCTGACCACCTTGTCCCCCCGGCTGGCCAGCTTCCTGTTGACAAACTCCCCTCCTCTGGACTAACCACGTAGCTCACACTTCTCTATGTGTTTAACTGATTTTGGCCCTCGGCAGGACACGGGGGACAAATGCACCTGATTTCCAGGGAAAACAGCAGCTGCCCAGGCTATCTCCAGCGTCATAGACAGAGGCTGTCAGATCTGATGCAACCGTGTGGGTGTGTGTCGGGTGGGGGATGGCCCTGCCCTGGCCTCATCCGCCACAGGCTTTCAGTGAGGCCAGAACAGGAGCCTGCCCTTCTCACTCCCACCCAACCACTCAGAGTCCACAGTGGGTGAGCAGGTCGCTCTGCTTCACCCTGTCCCCTCCCACTCCCTGCCATGAGGGTCCTAGGCTCCATTCAAACGGAATGTCCTGAAAACATACATCTACACCAAAACAACACATGTCACATTTGACATCAAATGTCAAAAGGGAAAACAAGACAGATGTCCATCAACTGGTGGATATGGTGTATCCATGTAGTGGAATCCTATTTGGCCATAAAGAGGAATGAAGGCAAAGGAAAAATAAAAAGGAATGAAATATTGATACTTCTGCATGGACGAACCTTGAAAACATTATGCCGGGGACGCCTGGGGGGTTCAGTCGGTTAAGCGTCTGCCTTCAGCTCAGGTCATGATCCCAGGGTCCTGGGATCAAGCCCCGAGTTGGGCTCCCTGCTCAGTGGGGGAGTCTGCTTCTTCCTCTCCCTCTGCCCCTCCCCCCACTCATGCTGTTTCTCTCTCTCTAATAAATAAATAAAATCTTTAAAAAAAAGAAAAAGAAAACATTATGCCAAGTGACAGAATCAGTCAAAAAAGACCATGCGTTATAGGATTCCATTTATACAAAATATCCTGACAAGGTAAATACATAGAAAGAGAAAGTAGATTGGTAGTTGCCCAAGACTGGGGGGATGGGGAGTGACTGCTAATGAGTATGGGGCTTTTTTTTTTTTTTTTTGAGTGATAAAGATTTTCTAAAATCAAGTGTGGTGTCAGTTGCACAACTTTGTAAACTGTACACTTTACATGGGTGAATGGTATAGTATATGACTTATTACCTCAATATAGCAGTTTTAAATAAATTAAGAAAATCAAATGTCCCTATTTCCAAAGTCCTAAAGAATTTCCCACCTTGTACCTTGGATCACATTATTTGTTCTACCTAGAGAGCCTTCTGTTTGATCTGCCCATTAAAATCCTAGCTGGGCTTCAAAGTCTACCTCAACTCAGCTAGCCCTTGAAAGCTTTCCTCACTGAGCACCCCTCCCCCACACTCACCAGAAATGAATCTTCCTCCCCAGTCCCCTTGGTGCTTATTTGAACCTTTTTGTTATGACATTTGTCACACTCTCTGTTGCCCAACAGTCCTTGTTGTCACTGCCCTAGCTCCTCTACCGGACCCTCAGCTGGAGGGAGGGATTCAGGTCTTTGCATGTTCACCCCTGCAGTGCAGAGCACGGAGGCAGGCATGCAGGCTGAGCGTGGCCCTAACTTAGCCGAACTGATTCTAAATCTGGCCTGAAGACACTCCAGGTGCCGCATCCCGAACTTCCTGGCTCTCCGCGACCTCATGTCAGAGGGGCTGGAAACTTTCACTCAAGGGAGCTGGCTGAGGCCTCCCCCAACTTTGAAAATAAATAACTAATACATCCCCTTTTGCATTTTTTTTTTAAGCTTATTTATCCTTTTTCCCCTCTGGAGATTTCTCTCCACTTTTATTTTGAAAATGTGTCAAAGCCCTTTCCCAAGCCAAAGCAGGGCCTTCAGCCCTGCAGAAAGGAGTAGGGACAGCGGAGGACAGAAAATAGGACCCAGACAGATGGCCCCACTCCAGTACCCCCAATCCAGACCTCCAATGGCTGCCCCTGGACCCCAAGTGTCCTGGCACCCCATGCAGTGAGCTGTGCCCTCCCCACTGCCTACCATCACCCTGGCGGCAGGGAGGCGGGGGTGGAGAAGCTTCTCCTCCCTCCATTCCACCACATTCTTTAGTCACGTTATAGGGAACTTCCCCTCCTCTCCAGGGAATGGCCCTGAGGCTTGTCTCAGGGGCCGAGGGTCAGGGCCCGAGTCTTTCTGATGAGCAGTGTGCTGGGGGCACAGCACATTCTGCCTGAGGATGGGAGCCACAGTGGACAAAGGCAGTCACAGCGGACCTGGTGTGGTGACCCCCAGGATTATGGGGGAGTAGGAACTGGGTGGGGAACATCAGAGAAGAAGGAAGAACAACGGGAGGCTGAATTCTCCCAGGCAGCACTGCTCTGAATGCTGAGAAGCATCCTTGCCTTATGTCCTCTCACCTCTAGCGTCCCACAGCCTAGGAGAAATAGCCTCTCCACTGGCTTGTGAAAACCTCAGGGCCAGGCCACACTTTCCTACCTGAGTCCTGCCTGGCCCCACAAGTTCCTGTCCGCCCCAAGAACCTAACACACAGCAGGTGACTTCTCCTCCGCTCGGAACATTCTTCCTGCACAGTCCCTATCCCCAACCTGGTTAATTTCCTCTTCACATTTCAGTAAAAATAGTATCTCCTCCAGAAGGCCTACACGTGTGCGCACACATCCTCCCCAGTTCCCATAATGTCCTGTGCTTCCCCGATTCCACTGTCTCAAGGTGACGGCTTACTTATCTGTCTCCCCACACCGGGTTACAAGCTTCCTGAGAGTTCTGTTCCTCTTCTGGCTACAGAGCCTGGCATCCACCAGGTGCTCAGTAAATGTCCCCTGAGTGAAGACAGCTATTTGGCTGCACTGTGCTAACCACGCACGTGACATACTTTATACCTCATCGAACCCTCCCCACCACCTTCTGCAGTGGATGTCATCATTCCTCTGTTTCAGAAAGAGAAACCAAGACTGAAATACTGGCTTGTGAACAAGAGGCTTTTAACCTCTATCTGTTGGACTCCAAAGCCTCTGCTCCTAACAACTAGAGTAAATGATCTTCCTTCCCTGGGGCTCAAGTGTCCTGGGAATCTATCCCAGGGGGAAGTGGGAATGCTGTTTGGGCCTGGCAGCCTAGGACAGGCTTGCACACTGGCACAGCAGGAATGTTCTGCTAGGTGGGCAGGCCCCAGACTCTTGTCCTGCCCTCATCACTCACACACTGGCCCACCTGGACCAAATGTACCTTCAGGCTCAGACCTGCCCTGGGAGTAAAAAGGAAAATAGCCCCTCCATCTGCAGCTCCTCTTGCTTTCAGAAGGGCTTCCTTCTTGCTATCCCAGCCTCCACGAACCCAGCCTGATGCTACCCAGGAGGCAAGGCAGGGGCTGACATCTTCTGAACATTTACCAAGGCAAGCAGCCCACTACTGCTCCACGTCATCCTTGCCAACAGCACTGTTATCACCCCCATTACACAGATGAGGAAAAAAGCACTCAGAGAGCCAAAGCACTGGCCCAAGGTCCAACACCTCATAATGGCAGAGTCAGGGTGGGTTTCCTGGGCAGTCCAGCCCCTGCTGGCTACCACATCACCCAGTTTGGTTAACTATCTTTGGTGGTCCCCGCTGACCATGAGAGAAAGCTCAAATGCCCGGTCTGAGATTTGAGGCCTTAGGGCTCTGCTCTGGCTGCTCCATGCTGCCTTCCCAGCCTCATGGCCCATCCCCTCCTTGCACCTGCCCCCCATCCCCTCCAGGTGGCTATTACCACACCCAGAATGACAGCTCGGTTCCATCCTTCGCTCCAGCTCTTCCCCTGGCCTAGAATGCCTTTCCTACTCCCGTCACATTTCAGAGACTGTGCCTCATCCCTGCCTCCTTCTACTTACTGCCTTACTTTTCAGTGAAGTGGCCCCTGGCCTTGGGCTCTAACCGGCTTGGCGCTGACAATGCTTATGAGCAAGTGGTCCTCCGTTGCAGGCTGTCTCTCATAATGTGACACTGCTCCTCTCCTGGGTGGTGGCCTCCCCGGGAAAATTCAGATCAGCGCTGTTTCCTGGCATCCCCTACGGTGTCTTGCATCCTGCATGCTCCACTGAAATATGCTGACATGCACTGAAAGAGCTGGGAGTTAGTGGCCCTTCTCTTTCTGCCCTGGGGAGGTCCTCCACCACCTGTAGGGGGCGCCCTAAGGGCACTCCTCCCACAGGGCTGCTGTAGGCCTGGGTCAGAAGGGAGGACGACAGAGAGGATCCCCAAGGGCAGCCTGAGGGCCAGCAAAGCAGCAGCTCCCCAAGGTCTAGGTTCTCAGCTTCTCTGCTCCCCCCTTCCCAAACAGAGTAGGGCCCTAGAAAAGATCCCGGGCCTGGGTACTGGGAAATTCCAGTTTCACCTCCACCATACAAGGCCATGTGAACTTGAGCACGCCATTT